AGTCAATTGGCTTATCACTCACGATGTTTCTCACAAATCCTTTGCTATCCTCCTTAAAAGACTTCTTCTCGATCAGGTAGGCGGAGACTTTCTCGTATGATCCTCCAGCATGATGCTCCATTCGTTCACAAAAGGATGATTGAATTACGCCTATCACTAGGCCCAGGTGTTCTCAAGAGTTACAACAATATTCGCCCTCTTGAACCTTTCGCATTGACTTAAAGATGTCATGAAACAAAAATCTAAATTTACGAGAACAGATAAAGTTCAACTGAAATTTAAGATCTTTAACTCCATCTGAAATCTCATTCTACGCGAGGAAAGAAAAGACAACAAAAATTTCCAAATTGAATAACCAATAGAAGTCTCAAAGCGAAATTCAAAATAACCAGTAAGAGTCTCAAACGAAATTCGAACTTGTCTAACAAGACAAAAGGAAATAAACAAGGTCTGCCAAAATTACGAGAAATGCAATTCTAACAAAAAGGAGGGAACAATTAATTGTCTCAAATCTGACATTTCGATCGACTACTCAGCCTTGGTTATGCTCAGCTTCAAACTGGGCCATCGTGTGTACCCGTGCTCGACCTCCTTCGTCATACCTCAGTTGGGCCTGCTGATGCTGCTGCTGAATTTGTTGCTGAGGTGGCGGCGGGGGAAGTTGCTGATGATGGGGTTGCTGATTGGGTTGTTGATGCTGAAATGGTTGTTGTCCCTGTAGTTCAGGGCACGTGCTACGGAAATGTCCTGGGCGCTGGCAGTTGTAGCAGACCTTCTGGGCGTGCCAGCACTCTCCTCCATGGTGACGACCGCAGTTACGGCACCTCTTATTCTGGCCCTGGTCGGCAGGGCGCTCACCACGTTGATCGTCTCCTCTACGCTTTCCTTTCCGGTCATCTCGGTGGGAATCAGCCTTTCTCTTGCCCGAACTAGAGCCGGGCGGCGCGGATGAGATGGGCTGAGCATACTGAATAGGAGTCTGAGCAGGCTGAGAAGTGTGGTGATAGGAGGGGACTGGAGCTATAGGAATGAGACAACTCTCTACCTCCTGAGCCCGACTCACAGTGTCGGCGTAAGACATCAGTCCGTGACTCCCCACCAGTTCACGGATCCTCTGATTAAGCCCCTTAAGGAATTTGCGGGCCTTCTTAGCATCAGTATTCACCGAGTCGCCAGCAAAAAGACACATCCTGGTGAAAGTACGAATATACTCGTCCACGGTGGAGCTGCCCTGCTGCAGATGGTAGAACTCATGCTCCATCCGATCCCAAAAACTCTGGGGAAGGAACTTGCCGTGCACCATCACCTTCATCTGCTCCCAAGTGAGAGCATTAAGCTCCGCCTCTGGCCTCCGAGCCCAGTGGTCAATCCACCAGTCGGAAGCGTCCTCCTTCATCTGGTAAGCTGCGAGAGATACACGCTGTCGGTCCTGGAGAGGGAGCACAGCGAAAACCTTATCCAGCTCCTTGATCCATTCCAGTACCGCTGTGGGGTTCTCAGTCCCCGAGAAAGTCGGTGCATTCATTCTCTGAAACTGGACTATGAGTCGGGTAAGGTCCATGGCCAGAGGGGCCTGGTGATGATGAGGAGGCGGGGAAGGAGACAAGGATGGCTGACGGTGGCGGTTGTTGCGGGTATTCATAACTCTACATAGAACAGGCCGAGAGAGTTTAGCACAATTATACGAGAATCTAGAATTCAACACTAGAGTTCGAATTTAAAAAGGTGGATTGTTCCTAAGCCCCGATTTATCACATCAATAATCAATTAATATATAATAATCTCAAAATTATTCAAGTACTCATACCTGAGTTGGCGCGGCACGACGAGAGCGAGTGGTCATATCACAAGGTCAAGCATATAATCACATAATCGATTTTTCATACTTAAACCAATCTACAGAAACGCAGACTGGCTCTGATACCAAACTGTAACGCCCCACTTTTATTTTACGAAAATTAGAATAATTTTTTTTAAAATTTATTTCAAAATACTTGGCGGCGCTACTAATAAAAAAAAACCATTTTCCATAACATCATAAGCATAACTCCCAAACGGGTTCATAAATTGAATCAACGCTGAAGTGAATAAGATTCACCCGGGCTCCTTCAACTCGAACCGGCCTCCGTACCTGCAGAACCCAACGCCGGGGGTGGCCTCGGTGTCGAGCCTCCGATGCTTAAGTCAGTGCTCAGATCAAGAGAGAGAAAGTGTAGTAATGTAATGAGGAGAGGATCTGAGAATGAGGTACCTTGACCCTCTTTTATAGGGGGAGTGTACCTTTTGGGCCCAAGTTGGGCTTAGATGTCTTAGTGGGCTTATCTTCCAATATGTATCCGCTTTATCCATCAAACCGGGTCCAGTATAATATCCTATATCATCTAGTCCCCCCCAATCTGGTCGAGTAAGCATAACTCGATCCAAGAGTGAAATGCCTCTTCGAGCTGTTTTCTTCCACTCGCCACTAAGATCGAGCATCGAAAGTCGAATGACCATTGAATAACCACTGAAATATCCTCCAAATGAGCTTTGAGATCTCAAGATCGAAAATTGAAAGACCACGGAGGTTAGAAACTGAATGATCTGACGTCGGGGTCGAAAACCGAAAGATTTGTCAATAAGGACAAGAACCTAATGACTTGCCACTAAAGTCGAACACCAGAAGTCGAACGTCAACTGAGGTCGAAAACTGAATCGAGATCGTTGAAGTCGCAAACCGAGAGTCGAGAGACCGTTGAGGTCAAAAACCGAGAGTTGAGACCGCGGGGGTCGAAAACGAGCGTCGAGACCGCGTAGGTCGAAAACCTAGAGTCGAGACCGCAGAGGTCGAAAACCGAGCGTCGAGACCGCGGAGGTTGAAAACCGAGCGTCGAAACTGCAGAGGTCGAAAACCGAGAGTCGAGACCGTGGAGGTCGAAAACCGAGAGTCGAGACCGCGGAGGTCGAAAACCGAGAGTCGAGACCGCGGAGGTCGAAAACCGAGCGTCGAGGCCGCTGAGGTCAAAAACCGAGAGTCGAGACTGCTAAGGTCGAAAATTGAGAGTCGAGACCGCTGAGGTCGAAAACCGAGCGTCGAGACCGTGAAGGTCGAAAATCGAAAATCAAGAGACCACGGATGTGGTCGAAAAACAAGAACCGCGATGCCGCTGAAAACGAGAACCAAAACCCGAAGGACCACTGATAATCGTCGATGAGGTCGAAAGACATAAACTGAATGACCACTCCCTGAAATCTTGAATTTGAAAATTTGAATTTACGTCTATTGTGTTTTGATCACCATGTTCGAGCTCTCTTATACCCCCTCGTCCTATGGCCCCTCAGTTCAAAATTTAAAATTTAAGTCTGTTGTATATTCCTTTGAAAACTAAATCAACCACCAACCTGCTCAAGCCATAATGA